CTCTCTTCCCCCCCTCACAAGAAATCCTTTATCCCCCACAACTCCCCAACCAACTCCTCAGAAGAAACTATTGAAAATATTCAAGATTACTTAATGCAAACTGACACTCAACCTACAACCCCTGCTCCTTCCACACTCCAAGTAACTGCTGATATCCATCCCCCTCCTAACGATATCCCCCCTACACCCTATCCTCCTTCCCCCTCCCAACACAGCCCATCCCCCCCGACCCCGACCCCAACCCAGCCCACATTAACCCTCCCACCATCCCCTCTATCCCTTCCACTCCCTCCTGGATACACACGTGAATCCCTTATGTCACAAGTATCCCCTTCCTCAGACCCTCCATCTCCTAATACCCCTCCTGATAGAACACCAACTCCCACATCTCTCCCATCTCAAACCTCTCAGTCCTTATCCCACCCTCTAGCTGATTCCCCCTCAAAGTCTCCAACACGTACTACAATCTATATCACTAAATCAACGAAAGTATAACTATCCTTCATTGGAATATTCGCGGTTTCCGCTCCCACAGACCTGACCTTCGTCATATCCTTTCCTCTTATAACCCATCTATTGTATGCCTTCAAGAAACCTTTCTTACACATCCTCCAATACCAATCCCCAATTATCATTTTGTCTCTTCCCCACATTCCCTTTATGTCTCGTCTATACTTATCAATCAGAAAACACCTTATGTCACACCACCCTTTCAAACCAATGTCCCTTGTACAGTTATTCGTATCTTCCTTCATCGTTGGATCACAGTGATTTCAGTCTACTTCTCCCCTTCCCACCCCATTGACTTTGTTGCTTTTGAAAATCTAATTTCCCAACTTCAACCACCTTTCCTCATAGTAGGCGACTTTAACTGCCGCCACACTCTTTGGGGGGATTCTATTACCAACTCCCGAGGCCGATCTCTAGAGCGCTTCCTCTCCACAGCTGACCTTACTATTCTAAATTCAGATCGCCCCACACACTTTGATACACGCACGCAATCTTTTTCCTGCATTGACCTCTCTCTATGCTCCCCTTCTCTTCATATAGATTTCCACTGGTCAGTCTTAGACCACTTTCCCTATAGTGACCACTTTCCAGTTCTCCTTTCTCCTACTTCATACGTACCACTTCCTAACTCCCCACGCTGGTGCTTTGAGAGAGCCGACTGGCATACTTTCACTTCACTCTCTGCTATTCATACCCCTCCATCCTCCCTCACCTCCATTTCAGAAATGATACAATGTTTCACAACTACAGTCTTAAGAGCTGCACATACAGCTATCCCTCGAACCTCAAGACCATATACCTCTAAATGTGTTCCATGGTGGAATTCTGATTGCACTAAAGCACTTCGCTTAAAACGTGCAGCCTGGAACAGTTACCGCTACAAGAGAGGTACTCCAAATCAACTATCAGCCCTTATCTCCTTTAAAAGAGCATCTGCCTGTCTTCGTCGTACAATCCGGAATAGTAAAACAAATAGCTGGCGAGATTATGTTTCATCAATTACATCCTCTACATCTATCTCAAATGTATGGCGACGAATCCATAAACTATCAGGCAAACATCCCCCCCATCCTGCCCCCGTCCTCCATATTCGAGATACCCTCATTTCTGATCCTCTCCAAGTCGCTAATGAACTGGGTGATTATTTCAGCCAGGTCAGTAGTGGCTCTCACCTTTCTCCACACTTCTCTTCTATCAAGACCACCAGAGAACGTACCCCCATTACCTTCACCCCATCCTCCACTGAATCCTATAATGCCCCATTTTCTTCCTCTGAACTCATTACTGCCCTACAATCGTGCCGCAACACTCATGAAGGCCCTGACGGTATTCACTACCGTATGCTCCGGCAACTCCCATCTTCCTCCTTATCCTTCCTATTAAAAATTTACAACCACATATGGACATCAGGAAATTTTCCTTCTAATTGGCGAGAAGCTCTTATCCTTCCCTTCCTGAAACCCAATAAATCGGGTACCCTCCCTCAAGACTATCGCCCCATCGCACAAACTAGCTGCTTGTGCAAACTATTAGAGCGAATGGTGAACTTCCGCTTAATGTGGTATCTTGAATCTCACAATCTTCTCTCTCCTTCCCAATTCGGTTTTCGCCGTGCCAGAAGCACAGCTGACCCCCTTGCTCATTTTGAGACATATTACATCCGCATTTGCACGCCATGAATCCGTACTAGCTATATTTTTTGATCTAGAAAAAGCATATGATACGACATGGCGGTACCATATTCTCCAACAATTGTCCTCTCTAGGCATACGTGGAAACATGGGTGTCTTCATAAAGTCTTTCCTCTCCCAACGCACTTTTCAGGTCAAAATTGCTTCTGCCACATCATCTTTCTTTCCTCAAATCGAAGGTGTCCCACAAGGCAGTGTGCTCAGTACCACTTTATTCCTTCTAGCTGTTAATGATATTGTCTCAGTTTTACCACCAGGAGCCCGGTCATCACTATATGTTGATGATTTAACCATCTATGCATCTGGCACATCCATACCAAATCTCTACCAATTTCTTCAATCTGCAATCTCATCAGTATCTTCCTGGGCCACAAACCATGGCTTCCGCTTTTCTATCTCTAAATCTTTCTCCATCCTTTTCTCTCGCTCACGTGTAAATCCCCTACCCCCACTCTTCCTATATGGCACTCCACTCCAATGCCGTTCCTCTGGCAAATTCCTAGGCGTCATTTTTGACTCCAAACTGACCTGGCGAGACCATATTCTACACATTAAAGAAAAAGCTCTCCGCCGCCTTCGAATTTTAAAAACTCTATCCCATATATCATGGGGCTCAGATCGCAAAACTCTCCTTCATCTTCATGTTACTTTGATCCTCTCCACTCTTGATTATGGATGCCATATCTACTCCTCTGCCTCAACTTCTCTCCTTGCCCATCTTGACACAATCCATCACTGTGGTCTTCGCTTAGCACTAGGCGCCTTCCGCTCCTCTCCAGTTGAGAGCCTGTATACTGAATCAGGCATACCATCTCTATCTAGACGTCGTGCCCTGCTCTCACTCCGATGTTATGTTCGTTTCCACCAACTTCCCCTCACTAAACTAACTATCCCACAATCCCTACTTCCTACCTTAGCTTCATCTCCACGCTTACCTACTCCTTTCTCCACTCGCATGGATACCCTCCTCTCCCATTCCCCTTTCCCCCATCTCCAACCTCTCCCGTTCTCTGTCCATTCCGTCCCTCCATGGCTTATACCTCACCCCCATATTTGCTCTTCTGTTTTCCCCGACCCACCAAAATCAAATATTCCTCCTACTGTCCTTCTCATCCATTTCCTTGACCATGTCTCCACCCATTCCTCTAGTATACACGTATATACTGATGGCTCCAAATCCACCTCTGGTGCTGGTTTTGCAGTAATATTCCCAACTCGTACTTTCAAATACTCCCTTCCTCCTGAATCCAGTGTCCTTACTACTGAACTGTATGCACTCCTTTTTGCCCTAAAACACATATACTCACTCTCCTCTTCCTCTTTTACAATTTTTACTGACTCCCGTAGCTCATTAACTCTCATAAAGTCAATACACACCACCAACCCCCTTGTTTGTAAGATCCAGAACTGGTTGTTCTACCTGTCCACACGCCACAAAACAATCAAATTTTGCTGGGTGCCCAGCCATGTTGGAATCCCCGGCAATGAACAGGCAGATACACTAGCACGCCACGCTGCTATGTCCACATCATACCAACCACGCTTCTCACGTATCCCAGCCACGGATTATTACCCACACTTTAAGACCTTCTTGTATAAACGATGGCAATCTTTCTGGTCAAGCCTCCACACTAATAAATTACATTCTGTAAAACTATCAATCTCCTCCTGGTCAGCTCCATTTCATCGGAACAGACGTTGGGAGACTGCTCTCGCCCGCTTACGCATTGGCCACACCCGTCTAACACACTCCTATCTGATGTCACAATCTGATCCACCCCTATGTTCCTTATCATCACCTTCATAAAATAACTGCCTAAGTCATTTTTTGGCGATTTCTTGATTTTTGCCTAAGTCAGTTCTTCTTGATGTGGTGCACCTATTGATATTCTTGCTTAAATAATTTGTTGGGTATGAGTGGTTTAAAATTCATTGTAAACATGTAGCCTAAATCACAAGGTGACTTAGGCATTATTCCCAGCATTGCCTAAGTCAGACAATGTGACTTGGGCAAATAGACCTTACTGCCTAAATCAAACAATGTGATTTAGGCAGTATGACCTTGTACTGCATTTTCTAAAGTATCTCATTCTTTGATCTATTTTCTTTCTTTTCGGCATTGTAACGTTTTCTGTAATCACTCAGTTGTAAACATCAGCCACATGGTGAATGGATAGCCATCTGAACGTCAGTGCACAGAAGTCCTCAATTTCAGGTGTGTTTTTCGTCTATCATGAAAGATAATGTACAGAAAGACTACAGTTGTGTATAATGTGCAAATTAGAGAAAACAGTGAAGGAAAGAGGGTAGAGGATAACACACATTATGAAGGAAATGAGCGGGGGAAGTGGTTCTCATTAACTTTGTACTGATGCCTGTAGGGTGTGGGACATCTTTTGTAGTTTCTGAACGAATGAATTGTTGTGCAGTTGCTTATTTATTATAGTTTTTGGATTTCGTCCTTTCACAGATAATATAATTGTGAGTGGCAGGCCTAATCTATTGACAATAATATGAGCCAGTCAGAGCTGCATGCTGACAGTAAAACACCAGACAGCAGCTCAGAGATGGATGTTGAACCTGAAGCATCCGGGATGTCAGTTGCATTCATTGATCCAGATATGGATGCTGATGATGACTCAGATCGTGATCCACACTATCAGCCAGATGGTGATGATCCATCAAGCTCCGAAACTGAAGTAGCTGAAGATGATGCATTGGTATACAGGGGTGTGGAACAACGTGAGAATGCTGACACTGGTGAAAATGCATTAAAAAGCTTATGCATTACAATATAATATTATTTGCTTTTTCATCCAGATGAACAAAACTAAACGGCACAAACGGTCAGATCCAGAGAAATGGCAGCAAAATATTTACAAGAAGAAACGGCTGACGGGGGTACAGCGTACAGGGAAAACTGGTAAAGATATCCCTGCTGCAAAGATGGGTCCTCCATGCCAATCTAAATTTTGCCAGAAAGCCAAAGCCCATTACTGCCAATTCATAACTGAGGAGCAGCGACGGCACATCTTCCACAAATTTTGGTCCATAACTTCTTGGGAAGCACGCCAAATATACATTCGAACCTTAATCTCAAAGGTACAAAATTATTTCAATTTGTTTCCATACAATCTCAAATATTAAATATCTGTGTCACATGCACAGTTCACTGCACATTTCATTGCACAAGACATAATGTGTACAAAATTAGTTGCACACGATTGGTGTGGAAAACATTCACTAAAGTAAACTAATTAACAAATATGTCATTTTCCAGAAAGAAATAAAGCAGAAGAAAAAGATACAGGGATCAAGACGTCAAGCATCCTATGCTTACAATCTACAACTTCAAGATGGATCAATTCATCAAGTCTGCAAGCCACTCTTTGCTTCTACCTTCGGTGTCCCCGAAAGAACTCTTATGTCATGGATAACAGATCGTGGTGATAGTTCGTCAGCAGCCTCATCAAGCGATAGTCTGTCAGCAGCTAAAACACCATCCAAACCTGGTCCCAAAAGTGGTATGTACACGTCATCTGTTTTCAACAGTTTTCAAATTTCATTACTCGTATAACTGAGGACAGTGTGTCGACTTTCTTTTAAATTATCATGATGCTATAATTCTCTTGTCTTTTCAGGAAAGTGTGCAAAAGTGACTGATGCAGATAATGAATTTCTCAGAGCCTGGTTGAAGGGCCTGCCGACTGTGGACTCGCATTATTGCAGGAGCACACCAACGTACAAGGAGAAACATTTCTTGTATCCTGGGACCACAATTGCGAACCTTCATCGGGAATACAAAGAGGATGCTGAGAAAGGTGGAGCTAGAGCTGTGGAAATTTCTTACTTCACTGATAAATTCCATGAGGAAAACTTATCTGTCTTCATCCCCCGGAAAGATCGGTGTGATGTATGTGAATCCTTCAAATATGGCAACATCAGTAAGGATGAGTACGACAAACACATTGAACTCAAGGATGAAGCTCGAAAAGAGAAAGCACTTGATAAAGAAGCTGCCAGTGCAAGTAAGTCTGTTTGGACTATGGATCTGCAGGCTGTTCTGTTGTGTCCGAAAACTATGGCATCTACCATGTACTACAAAACAAAGCTTCAGCTACATAACTTCACTCTATTTAATCTGGATTCCAAGAAACAAGGTTACTGCTACATCTGGAATGAAACCGAAGGTGACTTGAAAAGTGAAGTTTTTTCATATCTGCAGTACCATCACTTTGAAACTATCATCTTAGAGAACCCTAATTTGCAAGAGCTTGTGATCTGGAGTGATGGATGTGGCTACCAGAACAGAAACGTGAAAGTTGCCAATGCTTATTCTGCTCTTGCAAGAAAATATGGCATCAGGATCATTCAGAAGTTCCTTGTCGCAGGCCACACACAAATGGAGTGTGACTCCATGCATAGCACCATTGAACGAAAAATAGTGAATGATGTCTTCACAGAGCGAGATTATGCAGTACTCATCCAGTGTGCTAGGATCAGACCAACCCCATACATAGTCAAACAGATGAAGCACCAAGATTTCATGAAGATGGAGAATTTATTCTTCACCAGCATCAGGCCTGGTAAAAAGTCAGGAGATCCAGTGATTCATGCTCTGCGGGGGTTAATGTACCTAAGTGATGGAACAGTGAAATTCAGGTTGTCATTCAACATCCACTCAACTTGGGAGGCTCTGCCACACCGGATTCAAAACGTGGAAACGAAATGGATCCCACTCTATTCTTCAAGACTGCCTATTAATATACGGAAATTCAACGACCTTCAGTCCATGAAGACAGTTATGCCAGCTGACTGCTATAATTTTTTTGATACCTTGCCTCACGAGTAAGGATTATTAACAGGATTTAGTTACTCTGTCATAATTGTGAACAGATGCAGGGAAGCAATGTTTTGAGAATCTTTTAATTTCTCCCTGTCTTTTCTTGTAGTTTATTTTTTGGAAGGTCTGAATTTCTTTTTATGAAGGCCATTTGTTACTATAAGTCATAATTGTGAACAGAGTAAAGGAAACAAGGTTTTGAGAAGTACTTCATTAATTTCTCCATATCACTTGCATAAGTTTATTTTTCAGAATGTTACTATACAACATAAATCATAATTGTGAACAGATGCAGGGAAACAGTGTTTTGAGAATCTTTTAATTAATTTCTCCATGTGTTTTCTTTTGGTTTATTTTTCGGAAGGTCTGAATTTCTTTTTATGAAGGCAAGAATACCTTTTTTCAGTGTTTAAGTATTTTATTGTGTTTAATAAATTTATTGGTGCTTTGATAAACCACAATTATGAAAAGCTGCTAGGAATTAATGTTTTTGAAAAGATTTCATTACTAAATTTTGCACTTTTCCCTTAGTTTCTTCTTCAAAAGGTCTGAATTACTTTTTCAGAAGGTCTACATATTTTTTTTGACTGTTTTGAACGTATTTTTGCTTTACCATTTTGCCTAAGTCATATGTAAACAATACCAATAAAATTGCCTAAGACAGTTTACTTTGCTTTATATTAATGAATAACACTTTATGCATGAGAAAAGCATATCACTGTTATTGTACATCTATCAAGAAGTTTTAAAATGATAAACACTGCACTGATATCAAAATTAAGAAAATGAGAAAGTTTTTTTCGATTTCCCAAAATGTTGAAGAAATGACTTAGGCAATTATTTTATGAAGGTGACGTTATGTAATGTTCCCCTTTCAATCGTACACATCCTATTGTCGTGCCCACGTTTTGAAGCAGCCCGTACCTCTGCTTTCCCCCACCTATCCTCCCTTCACCGACCTCCCAACCTATCAGACATCCTTACAGAATCCCACACTTTCTGCATCAACAACCTGTTCTCTTTCCTCAAACGCATACATATCCTTTATCTAATCTAACACCCGACCTTAACCCTTTAACTCACCAATTCCTTTGCCCAGCTTAGACAACTAACCACTAACTCAAACACCTTTCATTAACATTAACTATAGTGCTACATGACCTTAGATGTCTAGCACATTTATCTTGCTTTTAACCATTAACCATTAACAGTGGCAGATATTGAAAAGAAAATACATAATTTAAAAACTTCTTTTAACCGAGAGCGAAAAAAAATAAAACAGTGTAGTGGGGCCTCTCCTAAGAAGTCTACATGGTTTGCATATGAATATTTGCTATTCTAACTACCATTTAATGAGTCTAGAGGCAGCCGTAACACAGATTTGGAGGAAGCAATCCCAAAGAGTGGAAACAATGAATTTGAGGTAAGTGAAACACCACGGCTCTCTCTAGCTGTTTGATTTTGCTTTTGTTAATTAGGTACACAATATATAAATAACATTCTATGACATAGGTATGTAAATAAAAAAGTGGCACTTCAATACTGAGATGTAACTTTCATACTTTATTATTATTGTACAACATGTCTGATATTAGTTTATGACATCATATTGCCAAGACACCGCTCCCTGTTGAGAAACAAAATAGCTACAAAATTCATCACGGATATTATGTACGTTAGCTGAAGCTCTTCGAGGGATGGCCATCAAATCCAACAAACGATCCCTTTCATTAATGTCTCTTCTCCACGATCCTTCTATCACATTACCATCTGCATCATAGGAGTCTAATGTTCCAGGAGGCGTGTAGTTCTGTCTTGAAACAGAATTCTTGCGTAAATAGTTGTGTAAATATACGCAAGATAACACCACACATTCAACTTTACATGGCTGTAAAGCCATTGGTTTTAGAAACACTCTGAATTTAGATGACATTATTCCAAATACATTTTCTATAATTCTTCGAGCTCTACTCAGTCTGTAATTGAACACTCTTTTAGGAATATCTAATGCACAACCAGGGTATGGTTTCAGTAAGTACGTGGACATAGCAAAAGCATCATCTCCCACTAGAATGTATGGTACCGGCTCTGTTCTACCTGGCAATGCCTCACATTTAGGTACATGGGCCGACTTGTTTTCTAGGTTATTGTACAATGAGGTGTACTTGAAAACACCCCCGTCGGAAATGCGGCCTTGACATCCAACATCAGCGTACAAAAAGTTGTAGTTGGCATCTGCAACACCAAGCAATACTATACTGAAGGTGCCTTTGTAGTTATAATACAAGCTGCCGCTACGGTCAGGTGCGACCATTTGCACATGCTTGCCATCAATGCTCCCTAGGCAGTGTGGAAAATTCCATCCCGTCTCAAATCCATGAACAACAGTTCTCCATTCAGCTTCGGAAGATGGTGTCTGCAAGAAAATTTTTTTTATAGAAATATTTGAGCAAGCAAAAATGTTAAATTTAAATACCTATGATCATCATTGACAAAGTTGTACCCGAATATTAGCTGGGGATTTATTGTTAATGAAGAGGTTTAACTTGAAGGGACAATATAGTTCATATTGTTAAATTCGAGGTACTCCTACTTAGACTTTCGAACAAAATGTAACAATTATTTTCTGTTTCAGGACACCTCACAGACTGTCAACACTGAGGACCAAATAGCCACTGAGGACCAAGCAGACACTTCTATTAACGAAATTGCACAAGAGGACCATGGCCAATCATTCCAAACACCAAGAAATCCTCCTAAACGTGCCCGGAAGAGTGAAGACTCCCCTGTCAATGAAGCTGTAAACTGCCTGAAATCTCTCACACATATTGTTTCTGGAAAAGATGAGAATTCAGCATTCGGGGATTTCGTCGCAAATAAAATGAAAACCTGTAAGAGGCCCCGGGTGGAGATTTCTTTAGCTCAGCGTTATATTAATGATATATTATTTCGATTGGACATGGGACTGCTATCTGCTGATATTCAATCTATGTACAAGTCACATACATATCCCACCTCTATCCCATCACATTCCCCCTTGCCACACTCTCCACATTTCAGTGGTCATTCATCTCCTATTCAACCTTGTTCACCAGTTCCTACAGTTTCTGCATCACCTGTTCCACCTCAACAATCACATTTCAGTGGTCATTCATCTCCTATTCAACCTTGCTCACCAGTTCCTACAGTTTCTGCATCACCTGTTCCACCTCAACAATCACAGTCACTAGCTGGAACACTCAATAACCCCTTCGATTTCTTGGAATTGTAGTATGGACAATAATCAAAAGTTTAATAGGTAATTACTATAATAATGACAGAAAAATATCATTTCCTTTATGAAGATCAATGTTAGCAAATAAGTCTGTGGTTTATTTCATTAAACAGGAATGTACTGTATTTTATCATGCAGTTGATATTTAAAGAATTTTCAAATTTGATTTCCTTATTTTCATGTGTTTATCACTATGTTTTAGGAGTATATTTCCCATATATTTTTTTTTATTATGTTATTATTAGCGTACATTTTCTTACTGTACACGAACAAGGAATCTGAATATCTTAATTTGTTTGAAAGCACAGCACTAATAAAATTTAAAGTCAAAATTCGTTGTATATACATACCTTCACATATTGTTTCAGTGCTGAAATAATTGCCTCACAAACTTCTGGGACTATTCGTGATATTGCCTGCTTCGATATTCTGAAGGTGTACATGAGGCTCGTGTACGAGTCTCCACTTGCCAGGAATCGCAGTGTGATAGCAAGTCGAAGAGATGCCGGTATGGTTTCTCTAAATTTGGTATCTTCTTTCGTTATTTGCCCCCCCACCATCAGAAGTAACTCTTCGAAATCTATAGGTGTTAGGCGGGTGAAATTTCTGAAACCCATAGCGTCGTTCATTCTTAATTTATTCAATAATTCAACACCAAATCTAGGTCCGTCTCCAAACAATTTGCGACACCACCAACGTTTGCGTTTTCTCTTTTTTTCACCAACAATTACCACTAGGCATGCGCTCACCCCGCACAAAGCAATGTCCTCCATGACTGCGAGACAGAAACTAAATGGGATACTAAACTTGTAGTGTGGACACTAGACACACATGAAACGGTGTCTATAGACGGCCTAGCAACTATGTCTATAGACCGTCTATAGGCGGTCTATAGGCAAGTCGCGCAATATGGTCTACTAGTGTGTACAAGGCTTTAGGGTGCAGGTACAGAAGGGCGATATTAGCGCAGACTCGTGATCAATTTCGTCTTGCGATCGGAGGCTGGCGTGGACGGGATGTTCTCTGTTGCTTTTTATTTTATTTTCATTTTATTCTTGGATATATTTTATTTGTTTATTTGTTTTTTTTTAATTAATTTTTAGAAGAGGACAATGCGCTGTCATGTGTACGTCAGATGTAAGACGTCATAAGCATTATGTAAAAAATATAGGAAATAACATTTTATAATATTTAATATCATTTTATGATATTGTTTTCTAATTGCAGTTCCACATCACTTCTCTCGTTGAAGATTTTGTCCCTTATGAGAGAGGTACAGAAGGGCAATATTTGCATCTCTTCTCTTGACGAAGATTCTGGAAGGCAGGGCGGCGCCTCGGGCGGCTGGCTCCCGCGGCGCGCGCTCATTGGTCGCTCGTCGCGCGGCCCGCCAATCAGCGCGCCGGAGCCTCGCGGCCAGCCAATCAGCGACAGGCGCTTCGATGCGAATATCATCGCCACCAACATTTGAATTCACACCTGGAGGCAGTTGATGCAGTTCTTTAATATGTGTGTTTATATAATACATGTATATGAACACATATATGTATATGTATACACATACATATATACACATATTTATGTATACATGCAAATACACACACACACACACACACACACACACATACACACACACACACACACACACACACGCACACGCACACGCACACGCACATATATATATATATATATATATATATATATATATATATATATATATATATATGTACACATA